TCCTTTTCCTCTTTCTGGTGGACTGTTGGCCCCCTTTCCAAGACAATTCGTTTTCTTGCTTGGTTTATGCGCCAAGTTTACTCCTAGAGCTCTATGTGTGACGATGGGCTGATCTTGATGTCTTAGCAACATGTCTGGTTCCTTCTTTCATTCCGGTCATTCTTCGATTGATTCCACCAACGACTCGACGCAGAGCAACAACTCCCGCATCAGCCTCCGATCTACCAGCATAAGTAACTTCTCAAAAATCGAATACAACAAACAAACCCCTCCTGACAGCACAGAATTCCTCGCCCCCGTCAATTTTGACGATCTCCAAAACAGCATAACCGAGCCGAGTCTCAGTCACTTTCCCACTCCTGGACAGGCCGGGGCTGGGTTTGAGCCAAGGCTTCCGAATAGTAGTAACGATAATGGCACGACTACTAGGTCAAGGAGCAATTCCGTTCGGCGGAAAAGCCTGGTCAACGGTTCTATCGAACCAGGTTCGGCTCGAGCTCCAGCTTCAGCCACGGCTGCTCGAAGCCGTCGCCAGAGCCTTGCCCAACCTACAGCCACAACCACAACTACTTCGCGCGCTCCTCGAAAGTCCATCGGCCCTGGCTCTCTCTCGGCAACTGGGACAGGCAGACGGCAAAGCCTGTCAGCACGAAAGGCCAGTGCAGACACAACACGGATGGACCAAGGCAACCTTTTACGTCTGAGGACACAGCATTTCGAACCAGCCCGACAACAGGATGGCACGAAACTCTCCAGCACTTCCCGGAGCATCAAAGCCAAGTCGCTGCAACCGCCATTGAGGGAACCCCAAGAGACCTACCTGACAGCATCTGGCCCTGCGGAGCATTCTCGTTCTTGTTCCACAAACGCTGTTCGAACTCCAGTCAAGAACGCGGCAGCTCCCATGGCAACTCCATCATCCTCATCCAAAAGGGTTTCGGTCATGCCGCCACATGCTACTGGCTTAGGGGCTCGGACCATAAGCCCCACTGATGCGCGACGAATTAAGCGTATGTCTACGGTGCCATCGGCGCCACAAGCACCGTTTACCCCTCCGACTCAGACAGAGCCCATGCCTACTCGTCCTAGGTCCACTGCGCAATCTCCTTCGCATATTCCTCGAAAGAGCAGTGTAACACCCTCGTCTACTCGTACTACGCCTGACCCAAATCGGAAATCTTATAGCTCTGGCTTATCTCTATCGTCAAACACCAGCTACAACTCCGCAAGGAACTCCGGGGGCTCATTGCAGACCAGGCTATCTCAGTCTTCATCCACGTCACGTTTGCCTACCCCCAAGCCTCGTATGGAACATGCGGCGGCCGATGAGGAGGTTCCGCCTGTTCCTGCAATTCCAAAGGCGTACGAGTCACCTAAAGGCGATTTTGACCCACCAAATTATGTTACCCCCCGAAAGCCAAGTCTATACTTGGACGTCGAACCCAAGCCTAAGGTAGAACAAGACTCAGACACGAATCAAACAGCAAGTGCGACCGAAGATGATACACATGGAGCCAATGATGAGCGAGCTTTGAAAACACCGGATGCGAAAGCCAAGCCATCCGCCGGGCTGGCGAAAAAGAGTTTACAGCCCTTAAAGTTACCGCCGTTGAATTTGCTTCCTCTGGGTACCCCAATGACGACGAAGATCGAGGCGTTAAAGGACCGGGATGATGACGTCAAATCCTACACGCCTTCGGCACAGACTCTGTCCAAAACCCCCAGTACTCCGTTAACCGCCTCCAAGGCAAACTTTTTCTCACCTCAGGACAATGAAGATGCAGTGCCACTTACTCAGGCTAGAAGTAGCACGTCGCATTTCGCCTTGAGTACATCATCAGGCAGTGCGGCTCTTCGGACGGCCAGCAGCTCTAGTGCGCTGGCGGCTTTTGACAACATTTCTGTCGGCACAAGAACCGTTTCGCCATACATTGCGTACAGCTTGCCGAAAAGCACTAGCGACTATACAGCTTTGCGCACTAAAGCTACCGATGATTGCTCTCCCAAGGTGACTCAGTCTCACAAGCTCACCGGGCCTCGTCCCCAAACACGATCATCCGCCTTCTCTTCCAATGCCGAGACCATCAGTCAGCTTTCGACTCCTTCTGACCCCGACAACAACAGCGTGTCGGGCTCCTCCCTCCGCAGTAAGATCACCTTCACTCGGAACCGCAGCAGTTCCAAGCCCCAGCAGGGGCCCGAGTCAAATGGCGACCCTATAAAACATGAAAAGATGCCCCCACCGAAGCTCCCTGCCTCTGCAACTTGGAGTAATATGTCAACAACGAGTACCTCTAGCCCATCGCTCAAGCCGTCCTATCTCAAATCACGGCGACAAGCATCGATGTCTACCGCTACCAACCAGCCGATGAGGAACCCTAGCTTCAGCAGCGACCAGAGCCTCGCGCTGGAGCCAAGTCCTTCCAATGAGTCAGGCGATAGTGAAGTGGTAGCGCACCGCTCAGCGGCGTCGATCTTATCGCCTGTACACAAGATTATTAGCTCGGCCAAGTCGAGTGTCGGGGCCACGTCAGTTCCCACGGAGTCTAATGTAGACGCCGATATACGCGTGGCTGATGAAGAAATGCGACGGCTTGGCAGCAAGCGTAAAGATTTCGAGACCGCGGCTAGGAATCTGGATGACTTGCGCCGCAAAGCCAGTCCCAAGGAGCGTGTCAGTCCGGCACAGGCTCTGCGGGTCGCCAGTCTGAACATCTTCGAGCGTGGAGAGATCATCGACTTCAAGGATATCTACTTTTGCGGGACCCAGAATGCGAAAAAGCATGTTGGTGATCTGACTGCGCAAGCGAACTTTGGCTACGATGACGACCGTGGCGACTATAATATTGTTATTGGAGACCATTTGGCCTACCGATACGAGGTTATCGATGTTCTGGGCAAGGGTAGTTTTGGTCAAGTGGTGAGATGCATCGATCACAAGACAGGCGGCTTGGTTGCCGTGAAGATTATCCGCAATAAGAAGAGGTTCCATCAGCAAGCGTTGATTGAGGTCAATCTTCTCCAGAAGCTGAAGGAATGGGATCCTCATCGTAAACACAGCGTTGTGAACTTCACCCAAAGCTTCTACTTTCGCGGCCATCTTTGCATCTCGACTGAGCTGCTCGGAATGAATCTCTACGAGTTTATCAAGGCACACGACTTCAAGGGATTCTCTCTTAAACTGATTCGTCGCTTTACGAAGCAGATGCTGGGTACACTGGTGCTTCTACACAACAAGAAGGTAATTCACTGTGATCTCAAGCCAGAAAACATCCTCCTCGTGCATCCAATGAGCTCTGAGATCCGAGTCATCGATTTTGGATCCAGCTGCTTTGAGAATGAGAAGGTGTACACTTATATTCAGAGTCGATTCTACCGTTCTCCGGAAGTCATTCTCGGCATGTCGTACGGTATGCCCATCGATATGTGGAGTGTTGGTTGTATTCTGGCAGAGCTTTTTACCGGATACCCCATCTTCCCCGGAGAGAACGAGCAGGAACAGCTTGCTTGCATCATGGAGGTCTTCGGACCTCCAGAGAAGCACTTGATTGAGAAAAGCACTCGGAAGAAACTCTTCTTTGACTCGCTGGGCAAGCCGAGACTTACAGTCTCTTCGAAGGGTCGACGACGTCGTCCCAGCTCCAAGGAGCTCAAGCAGGTCCTGAAATGTGACGATGAGGCATTCCTCGACTTCATTTCCCGTTGTCTTCGATGGGATCCCAGCCGCCGTATGAGTCCACAGGACGCATTGAGGCACGAATTCATTACGGGGGTGAAGATGCCGTCCCGAGCAAGAACCTATACACTGACGACGCAATCTCCTGCGAAGCGGGCAACGACGTCTTCTCACCCTTCTGCCGGCCGGCCTCTGCCGGAACCTCCTGTGACCAGCCTCAAATCCGGCACGCTGATCCGCAACCGGGATGCTTCGGGAACCTCTCCAGTCAAGCTACCTGCGGGTAAACGCCATTCGACTGTGAGTGGACTACCACCGTCGACGCCCGCCAAACGAGGGACTAGCATTAGCACTACCAGTATTCCTGGCTCGGCGCTACCTCGCGTTGCAGCCCGGAGTATTAGTGGCAAGCCAGACCTCGCGACGGCGGCGGCTGCGACCAGCCTGGTAAGTGCCGAAGAGCCCGACGAAACGCCACGAGCCGGTCATTAACTTGCATACAGAGGACGAAATGAAGTGGGCAGTATCATACGGCTTCGCATCCCTCCCCATTTTCACTTCTTGCATATCTGTAATAATAATTGTTTCTTGTTTTGTTTTCAAGGTTGCATAAACGGGTGGAAGCATCGGCGGTTCTGTCTCCCGTTGTCATGATTGATTTTGAACCGTTATGGGCCCCGTGTGGTGGACGTCCAAGGGGTTCGTGGTATACCCTTAATTGAGCATCTGCATGCCTTCCGTATGATTTGCATTTCGATTTTAGAGCCCTTTTCCGAGCATGTTGTTCTCCAATCCTGTCATGACCCTGGGAGCTGTCTACTCCCCTTCCTGCATTTGTTTCCTTTGTCACTCTTTCCCCCCTTATATGCCTTTTCTTATCTCTATCTCTTTTTCTTACTTCCTGATCGGGTCCTGATGGCCGGTGTTCCGTGTTCATGGGCGGGTCTGGGTAAATGTGATGGTGATGCGTGGATAGCATCTGTACAGTTGTCTCTTATTCTTTGGCCTCCCCTCATCATAGATATGGCAGTGACACGAATGGTGCCAGTGGTGGAGGATCGTGATGTTATGACTTAGACCATATAGGCATATATACCGTGCATATCGCCTGTGTATTTGTGTTTTCTGTAATGATGTTATCTACTAGTATTTTGTAGCAAGCTAGTATTGGTTACAATCCCGCTGTCATCTATTCCCAGCTTCAACCAGCGGGAAACGATGCTATCATGGGTATATAATGGTGATTACTTGTAAGCTTGAGTGTTGACTGGAGTGCCGATAGTAATCTTCGATATGAATTCGGCTCCAGGCTATAACCAAGCCCTCACTGATAATAAGCCCCCTGATCAAGCGGCAGAGGTGTCTGGTCTGGCCACAAGAGTACGATTCCATTCTTCGCAGCCGTTACTTCCTCCGGATCGACAAGTAACCCCTGATGCTGAAGCAGACCAAGCTGGTCCGTAACCCAATACCTGCATCCGACACCTGCAGAGTCGAATTCGTATTTGTGGCGGTCATTTTGCATGAGGAGATTATAGACGTCCTTGACCTTCAGGTTCGGAGGAACATGGAGCTTGAACTGGGCCTGAGCGTCCGGTGCACATAGATATGGGGCAGCTCTGAAATAGCCATGGATCCTTTGGAGCCACCGTGGAGGACTGTGTTCGGGGCTGTACGACTTGGCTGGCAATCAATGCACACGGAGGTTGTGTCAGATGTTGCGAGATAGAGACACCAGTGGTTGGTGCCGGCATTCTGGGTGTGAGGTACTGCGATGATGCTACGCACAGGGCTGTTGAGGATGATTGCCTCGCGAGATGGGGGAATGAAGTGGATGATTTGGAAGTTTGGCATGTTTGGTATGCAGTTATGGTTCTATGAGACTGCGTTTCTGGTGGAGGTTTCACAAGATCGACAGCCTTGCGAGAAGTTCTTTGGCGGTGACTAACTGTTATGGATCACCTGCCTTGAATTCTGGGATGATATCCAGTGAGACAGAATCTTTCTTAAGTCGATGACAGCGGTCCTCTACCATACACTGACACTTTATTAGGCGATTGAAGCTGTAGAAGGTTGTAGTTTAGTTAACCAACTAGTTAGTTAACTACTAGCTAGTAGTTATGGTTCACGGATGATCAAGGCTTATCGATAAGGGCGGGAAGGGGAATTGCGGAGAAAGAATCAACAACTGAAGGGGAATCCGGACTACTTGGCCTTTCGGCTTCCTTTCGCCAATCCCTCCGCCGCTCCCCTCTCTTCCTCTTGCTTTCCTCGGCCTCCATACGAGAGCTTTGAGCTCCATTGATTGTCGCTCCCTATCTCCTCATCGAACTTACACTCTGTCCTTCCTTTCATTCTCTTCTACCCTCCCACTATTCATGCCTTGATCGGTTGAATTGTTATACACTTCGCGACACGCATTCGTGATGAATGGCTTCGCATCGCACGGCCTCGACGAGGATGCATTCGGGGAGAAGTCTGGGCTGCAGGGCGGCCTAAAGACATTTGATGCTTTTCGTACGTTGAGCTCCGTATCCATGGATCATTTCAATGTCCACAATCATCAGTTTACTATGGCCCAAGCCTTGTAGTAAACAGCCGCGCATGGATATACTACCGGTCCATACCAGCTAGACCCCGAACTAACATCGCATTGTTCATTCAGCCAAAACAAAACCCTCATACACTGCCCCATCCCGCCGCGGAGGACAATGGACCGTCCTCATCCTCGTCATCTGCACAGTCTTCACCTTCTCAGAATTCCGCACCTGGCTCAGCGGCTCCGAGAACCACCACTTCAGCGTCGAAAAGGGCGTCGGCCATGACCTACAACTGAACCTCGACCTCGTTGTCCGCATGCCCTGCGACACCCTCGACGTCAACATCCAAGATGCCTCTGGCGACCGCATCCTCGCCGGCGACCTGCTCCAACGCGAGCGCACCAGCTGGAAGCTCTGGATGGACAAGCGCAACCGCGAAACCTCCGGCGGCGTCCATGAATACCAAACCCTCAGCCAGGAAGACTCAGACCGGATTTCCGCGCGCGAAGCCGACGCACACGTTCACCACGTTCTCGGTGAAGTGAGGAAGAACCCGCGCCGGAAGTTCGCCAAGGGACCCAGGCTGAGGCGCGGCGATACCGTCGACTCATGTCGCATCTACGGCAGCTTGGAGGGCAACAAGGTCCAGGGTGACTTCCATATCACAGCTCGCGGACATGGATACAGGAACTTTGGAGAACATCTGGATCATGGAGGTACGTTGTCACCCCTCCATCTCTTACTCACACATTCAAGAAAGAAACGCAGTCAACTAACATGCCCATCACCAGTCTTCAACTTCTCCCACATGGTCACCGAACTCTCCTTCGGCCCTCACTACCCTACTCTCCTCAACCCGCTCGATAAAACCATCGCCACCACCGAAACCCACTACTACAAGTACCAATACTTCCTCTCCGTCGTCCCCACCCTCTACTCCAAGGGCGCCAGCGCCCTCGACACCTACACCAACCACCCGGATCTCATCGCCACCAACAGGAACAGGAACCTCGTCTTCACCAATCAATACGCTGCCACCACCCAAGCCCAGGAGCTGCCCGAGAACCCCTACTTCATCCCCGGCATCTTCTTCAAGTACAACATCGAGCCGATCCTCTTGATGATCAGCGAAGAGCGGACGAGCTTCCTCTCGCTGCTGATCCGACTCGTCAACACCGTCTCGGGTGTTATGGTCACGGGCGGCTGGGTGTATCAGATCTCCGGGTGGATTGGAGAACTGGTGAACCGGAAACGGGGCAGAGGGAAGTCAGAGGGTGTGCTTACGGGGAAGCATTATGCGGAGGATTAGATTATCTCCATCATCTCCATCATCATCATCATCAATTTTGTTATTAGCATTATCATCTTTTGTCTATGCCTAAGTCCTTGTCTCGGATTGTGTATATCTCTTGTGAAGATACGAGGGAAACTGAATAGTTAGATGAGAGATATGTGTTTTGCGTTGCATATTGTACTTCTCGTTTAAGATCTGTCTTGTATGCCGGAAACTAGCACGTCGACAGAAGTACATGTCTCCATAACCGTGACACACAATTACACTCACATGCACGCCCGTCCCGGTATACTTTAAGAGAACTAAGAAAAGAAACTAACCCGCTGTCATCAACGCAAAAGTCCATCCGACCCCACCCACGGTATCATTCCCATTCAAGCAACAAAACAAAACTAACCTAACCTTCAAGGGCAAGAAAGATAAAGCAAAAGGGGGAAAGGTAAAATTTCTAAATCTGAAAAATCTCCCCCATGCCCACCCCCGCCCCCTCAGCGCCAGCCCTACTATCCACCAAATCCAACCGCCAACCATGCCAATCCCTAAGCTTCCTCTTAATCTCGCGCACCCATTCCACCCTCTTCCGCGCCTCCTCTTCAGCCTGCGCGCGCGCAAACTCCGCCTCGTCGAACTCATCTTCGAAGTTCTCCTCGGAGAGGAGCTCCAGACTGCCCCGTGTGGCGGGCTGATGGTGTTGCTGGTTTGAGGAAGCGCGGCCGCGGGTAGCACTACCACTACCGCTACCGCTACCACTGGCTCCGCCGTAGAAGGTGTTTCCGCCAGTGAAGGCGGCGAGTCCGGAGGATAGGACTGTGGAGAAGGAGGAGTGTTGTTGCTGTTGGGACTTGTGATTGTTGGCGGCCATGCTGCGACGACGGGCGTGGTCGGGAGTTCCGCCGATGAGGTCGACGTCGTCGAAGGTGTTTGCTGCTGCTGCGGCGGTGGCAGATGGTGAGGATGCATGGGGGAAGGAGGTATCTGGGGAGTGGAGGTGATGGGCATGGTCAAGTTCCTCGCGACGTTCTTTCCAGACGCCGCGGCGGAGGTCGAAGACTTCGCCTTCGAGGTCGCGGATGCGGCGGTGCAGACGGGAGCGTTCTTCGTCTTCGAGTTCATCGAGGGCGTCGTCGTCGGCGCCGGCGCTGCCGTGGTCGGTGGCGTGTCGTTTACGGAGGGATTCTTGTTCTTCTTTGAGGCGGAGGTTCTCGTTCTCTACGTCTGCGAGTCGTTTGCGGAGGACTGAGGCTTCTTTTTCGATCTTTTCGGTCTCGCGCAGACGGGTTTGATGCCGGGCTTCGGATTCCTTGTGTAGGTTGCCCATGGCTTCGAGCTTCTTTTCGAGGGTCTCGGCTTTTCTGTCTGTTGTGGTCTTCTCTTGTTTGAGCTCTTCGAGCTCGCGCTGGAGGTTCTTGATTAGTGTCTCTGTGGAGGTCTTGTCCACGCCCTCTTTGACGGCCTTTTCTGAGGCGCGGGTCAGCGCGCTCTTGGTGTCGGTTAGCTCGCGCTGGGCCTTCTCGAGCGCGGATTCGCTGCCGGAGAGCTTCTCTTCGAGGGCTGCTATTTGGGCCTCGTGTGCGCTGCTTGAGGCAAGCTGTGCGCGCAGGTTTGAGATTTCCAATTCCATCGCTTCGATCGTCGCAGACTTGGATTCTAATTGCTGCACCAGGTCCGCTGGGGGAGACTCCGATGGGCCGGGCACAGAGACGCTGGCGGTGCTCCGATGCGTGCGGGTTTGTAGATGTGAGTTTTGTCTCTGCAGGGATGCGATCTCTGCTTTCTACATTCCCAGTAGACCGTTAGTCTTAAAAGTCCCCAATAGCCTTCAGGACCATGTAGAGATCAAAGGTTAACTCACCAACTCCTCAATCTCCCCCACCTTCGCCTCCGCATCCTGCAACTTCACCTTCAACTCCGCAACATCCACACTAGCCTCCCGGAGATCCTCCAACTGCTCCTCCGTCTTCTTCCACCGTCCCTTCCCCTCCTCCAACTCCTTCTCCAACCGCTTATTATCCTTCTCCAACTCCTCAATCCGCGTTGACTGCTTTCGATACACCTCCTGCACCGCCTCACCATCCGCACTTAACGGCGGCAACGAAGGCGACTTCAGCATCGCACTCGCCGCCGGCGACGGAGACCCACTGCTCCCCTGCGACACGGACCCCTTCCGGAACGACGAGGACCGCATCTTCGACTGAATAGATAGAGAGGGCTGTCTACCGTGCGCTGACGCTCTTCCGGATGACTCGGGCTTCACGGCGGGTTGCGCGGGGGTTTCAGGACCAGGCGACGTGGGCGCGTCGGGCATAGGCTCGGTCTCTTCTTCTTCTGCTGCGGGGACTTCGGTTTCCTTCTTCTCCTCTTGGGGTTGTTCTTGTTCATTGTCTTCGCTCTTTTCTGCTTTCTCCTCCGATGTGGTGGTTTCGGCTGGAGCTTCTGTCTTCGGTTCTGGCTCTGTCGCCTTCTCTGTCTGTGTCTCCTCTACCTCCGGCGCAGCACTAGCACCTTCCTCCCCTCCCTCCTTTTCTGTAGCCGGTGCAGGCGCAGGCTCCGGAGATGACGCCGCGGGCGCATCTTCCTTGGCTGGTTCTGAGGACTCGGCAGCAGCAGCAGCGGGGGTGGTATCTTTGGAGGTATCGACGCTGGCGGCTTTCTTGTTTGCTTTCTTTTTCTGTTTTTGGAGCTGGGCTACCTATTATTCCGTCCGGTTAGTATGTTTGTCGCGCTGCGCTTGAGTGTGCCGTCTCTATAGACAGGCAAAGGATAGGTACATGGGCCGGGGGTAGGTAGGTAGCTAATGTGCATTCATAAGGGATATGCGTACCCTTTTCTTCGCGGCAGCTAGCTTCTCAGCCTTGATGCGCTCTTCATCATCCGCCATTGTGTGAGAATTGCGGAAATGCGCGTGCGGGGGAAGTGGAATGGGTAGTGTGTTCTGGAGGTTGCTTGTTGATGGATGATAGATGGTCTACTTGGTGATAGTCGGATCGGAGGACAGCTTTGGCCGCCGCGGTGCACGGACCAATCGGGGAGTACCAAGTCGCTGGTCTTCACTACTAATACTGTTCGATTACTGAATAGCTGGTCTGATCTATAAATAGCTATTTCTTCTGTCTACTCGTAGCGGATCAAATTAAGAGAGTGAAATGTCAATTTGTAATAAATACAGGAAGGAAACAGAAGAATGACAACGCCCGCCGTTGTGGAACCTGCCCTTGAGCGCCGCATCGGATTGCCGTGACGCAGCACGTCGTTCGTCGTCATCATCATCATTAGACCAACAGCCGTTCAATTACAATTAGGGGCTTTCCTTCCCTTCCTTCCGGTTGCCGAGTATAACGCCCCTAGCCGGTGCAAATGCAGGTTGAATGCAGCAGACAAGAACACAATTACGCCGAGCAGTCAAACCAAACGAGAACAAGCAACTGAACAAAACGGCCAAGTAAATGGCAACAAGAAGGGCCCGGGTTGGTTGAAAGTGAAGAATAAACAGGTAAGGCAGGAGGGAGGGGAGGATTAGACCTCCATCGAGTCGGCGATTTCCTCGCTCATGGCCCGAACGGTGCCCTTGCTGCCCGATCGGGAGCGAAACTCCTCATCGCTGAGCAGGTAGTGGTCGTATTCGTCCACGACTGGATGCGCGGGTTTCGACCCACTGGGCTCCTCGTCGCTTTCGCTCTCGAGTTCAATACCCTCACCCAGCCAGTAGCGAGCCCGCTTGCTCGAGCCAAGTTCCGGTGTCAAGTATCCGTCGTCGTATGTTCTCTTCGTTGTCGGCGTGGCAAGTCCCTCGCTGGGCGTGTGGCTGAGGATTGGGATCGCTCGTAGATACAGATAACAGACGCGTTTCCGTAGTCGGTTGAAGAAGAAGTAATGAAGACTCCAGATTGCTCCATCGTCCGCATCCGACGGATCCTCATCCGGCGAAAACGAATAGAGGGAGCACTCCTTAAGAGACATATGCTCATCAATAACCCTCCACATTCTCGGCCCCCACGTAGAAGACGCGCCCGCATTGTAGGAACCCGATATCGTCACGGGGGATGGAGGTGTCAGATCAATGGCCTCGCGTGGCCGAAGATTGAACAGTGTTGAATCGATCGTGTTCATAACCCTCTTCAGATTCCGTTCACGATGAAAGTCTGATGGGCGCAGCACGTGGGAGAAGTCATAATCCGGATGACTGGCATTTAATGTCGCGATCAAATAAGCAAATGTTCGTCGACTGGAGTGGTCGCTCAGGGGACCGAAAGGACTCGACCGGGACAGGTTGAGCGAGGCGGCCGCGTCCGATGCGTTGGGAGGTGAAAGCGAAGCTGACAGACGGAGAACCGATTCATATTGAGACTCAAGCGACTGTTCAATGTTCTTGTACAATTTCCGATCGGCTCGAGCAGCCTTTGTAGTGTACAGATCGCATCCCCCAACAATGTGACAGTCGGCAGTGTCGAAATTGAGAGAACTCGTCACGTCTTCGAACTCGGGCAAAGGAAGAAACTAAACGGAAAAGGCACGGGTAAGTATCAGGCCACTCTAGGGGAGGCTGCAGCGGCGCAATAGGGCTAGATTGCATACCTTCATCTTCAGCCAGAGTTGCGGTGTAGCAGTCGCTGATTACGATAAGGTGTGAGGATAGATAAGCGGAGAACACCGTGGTCGGTGATCAAGACACAAGGTGATGCGACAAGCAGATCAGAGCAATTGTCGCAGCAGTTGGGTTCAAATAAACCGGGGCCGTAGTCTCCTGAGACGTCACGAATCCGGCGATAAGAGTGAATGAGCTGGCGAGTGGAACCGTTGCTACGGTGGCAGCACAGGAGCGAAGAATGGGTGAGTTAATAGGTGAGTATGGAGAGCCAAGTCGCCATATCAGATGCAGATGAGACGGAAGGAGATGGAAGAAGACTCAGGGAAGGAATGGGAGATGGACAGCGCGATAGAGCGACGACTGGTCTTGGGGGGGATGGGGGATGCGCGCTGCGCCCCGAGGGGGGAGCCCCCAGTCACGTGGCGCAGGTCGGGCCAGTGATATCACGCACCCACCTCACGGGTTGCGCACTGAACCAAGGATGGCCAACCAGCCCAGATAATGAGGCAAAGTGCGGAATCATCCATTATTCTCCCGGATGATCCGTCCATTCTGTGAATCCCCTCACAGGAGCCCTTCCTTGGCTAAATGATTGACGACTTCCTTGGAATCCTGAATGTAGTCATGGTGGTATTAATTAGTTCTTGGCAACAAGTCGCGAGACAGTAGAACACAACGCTTATGTACGTCCAACGCCAGTATGTATAGCAGTCCAGCTTGCCCCAGAAACAGAAACGAACATCCCAAACAGTATAAACAACAAAGAAACGCTCGCGGGCCGGAGAGGCGTCTACATAATCTTCGTGACCACGTCTTCCTCAACCTGAGGCGGCATTAGCTGACGTCGACAGAAGATGATGGTATGGCTCGCTGAGATGAAGTAATTGGTTGAGGGGGCAGGGCGGGAGGAAACGATGTTGTGGGGAGGGGACAAGGTGGCCGCAAGATTTGATCATGATGTCGGGACCTCGCAGGTATAAAAAGGGGCGGGCCGGAAAAAGAAACGTAGCAATTGAACGCTCCGAAGACAGGTATTCCGTGCTCATGTTCCAAATAGGGGGGCTGGGTGTTGTAAAACAATAGACGCTATCGACTCACCTCCATGTCTTCCAGACTGTCCTGCTGGCTGATGCACCTCAAGACATTCTTCTTGCTGCTCTCCTGCATTTCTCCCGCCAGCAACAGCTCATCGAGGATGAAGTATGCCTTTTGGAAGTTGAAGATGATATCCAGCTCGCACACATTGCCGTAGTACTTGTCCATCTGCTCGACGTAACGATGCACGACCTCGAGGGTGATCAATTCGTTATCGGTGGATGCACAACCGGCGATGAAGAAGAGGGAGGCATAGCGACGGTAGACGACCTTGGTGTCTGGCGACGACGAAGAAGCAAGTCAGATCCAGTCCGATCGGGCGAGTGGGCGAGCTGCGGGGGAGGTATCCAAGTGAGGGGTGGAAATGATTCGGACGAACCTTTGTATTCGAGGAAATTGCACATGCGGGTGCGACGCGACAGAACCAGCTGGGTCACATCCTTGATGATCTTGGCCTTCTCTTTGGGGGAGAGAGTGGTGAACCATTTGGCAAGGCGCTGGGAAATTTTGTTGTGTTAGTCTCCGCTTCCAGCCAGGTCACAGAGTTGGGTGGGCCACGAAACGAACCACTTTGCCCTGCCTCGACAGGAGAATCAAGTAGCTGGGGAAATGAGAGGTTAGCGCATTTCCGGCCAATTCAGTAGCCGATGAGGGACTCACTGGATTGCCATTGTGCGAAAGATAGTTGATAGTGGGGATGGGGAAAAGGGGGGTAGAGAGGCAGAAAGGCCACGAGGGAAGTTGTGGGAGGAAGAGGGAGAGCCGGCCGAGCTCTGGAGAAATTCTTTGCACGGGCCGCCCTGGTGTTGTTGCCCCGCCGTCTTCACTGCCTCTTCCTATTGTTTGTCTCTCTACTCGGTATGTGCTATACAAAATGATGATGGAGAGGGGGAGATCAATTCAGATAATTGATTAGATGGGAGAAGAGTCTTTAATTCCAAAATGGGCTTTGAAGAAATTGAAGTGCATCAACCATTTCGACCACCACATCCGACGAGGGACTCCAAACAAACCGTCAGCAAGCTCTTGTGTATTCAAGTCTTCAGCCTCGCAACAAAACAATGAGTCGCTGATGCTCATGACGAGGCAATAATGCCGAAACTGAGAAAGCTATTCTAGTCCAAGGGCTATTCATCGAGAGAGACATTTTCTTGATAATGGTAGGTACCCAAGCACCTATGGAACAGTAGTCAGCGATATGGACGACACCTTAGGGCCATGGTTCTCAGCGTAACTTACTGTAGAGGATTGACTAGAAGGTAGATAGACACTAAAGGATGCTCATGGCAAGATGTTCTCAGTATCTCAGCAAACCCTAGTAGTGTGGTAACCACATCCAGTATTACTAGATAGTAACTGGCAGTTCCCAGTTTCCTTGAAGGAAAGTATAGTAGTACTACAGTCACTATCTACTACTCCGTAGCAAACAATGCTAGCATATATTTCAGCCTCACCTTAATCCACCAATACACTTTCTACCCTAACTGGCATCTACTATCTACCACTGATCCCAACCCATAACCACAACCACAGTACTCTAGTATAGCACACTGCCCAAAATCCTGCACAATTCGAACAAAGAAACATGTACTCACCCCAAGAAGGGAGAAAGCAATCCTGCAACATTCCCAAACCAGGCATGTCACACAATAACGACCAAGTCAAGCAAGCAAGAAAGATAAAAAGAAAGAAAGAAACAAAGAAAGAAAAAAATGACTCCACTCGGCCCGACCCATCAGTCATTCAGGCCAACTGGCAGCTGTCAGTCAGATCACACACAATCATGATCACAGCGAAACTTCTCTTTGTCTGGTGGTGGTGGTTGTTGAGTGTCCACTTCTATCCTCGCCCTAAAGTCTAGTACTACTACTGCTTAGTAGTATCTATCTGCAAGTCGCATAGTTCAGACACACACACATACACAACACACGGAACAAAATACCGAAAGAGAAACAGAGAGGGAAAAAGAAAAAGGAAAATAAAAGGAAAAGAATGGGACCATATCTGTACGCGTCCCAAGATAGTAATCAATGATCCCTCCGACATGATGTTCTTTGTCAGGGATATCCTGGACGGGGAATATGGACTAGAAATGGGTCCCGAGATGGAAAAACCCAATCAATATGAAAGTGACACGTTCTCTGGCTCTGAGCCCCCCAGAACTATTGTGACTTGAACTTGGGAAAACTTGACAGGGG